GCTGAAATATTTTATGGCACCTTTCGTTAAATCCACAAATAGTTTTACATCTTAAAGTACAAAGGTCGGGGCAAAAATCCAAATATATTAAATCTCTAACTTTAAATAATCAACAAGTTATAAAACTCAGGGTCTAGACATGTAATTTTCGATATCTTTGGATTATAGCCCAAAATAAATAAAATTGAAAGTTCAGGGGCTTAAATGTATTTTGTAGTTACTTGGAGAAAACGACGCGTATTTGAGTTCGGAATTAGACAAAAATATGTTAACAGTGGGTCTGAACTCAAATTCACCATTCACAGCTTGACAAACAATTAGTTTTCATTTTTTGTAAAAGAAAACTTAGGGGCTGTTTGATTTCAACTTACTGGGTCCGGTCAGACTGTTGACTCGGTCAGCAGTCCGAATGTTTGATAATCGCATATTATAGCCGACTCGGTCATCATTGTTGACCCCATATCTCTTACTCGGTATGCCCCAAAAAATTGTCTGAATGGAAATTAAGAAGCCCAAAATTCGTTATTTCCTTAGATGCCCTCGCCGATCCCTAAACGAAACACGCTCAACAGATCCCCAACAACTTCTACCGGCGAGTTCACCTCCTGCCATCTCCTCACAACGCCGACGACTCCTCCGTTGCACCGACGACGAGATCCACTACATGTAAGATTTCTGCGTTTTTGTTTTTGCTTTTTTTTTCCTGAAATCACAAAACCGTTAATGTCTCTTGTAAAATTACCGATTTCATTCTGAAATCAAAGTTTGAAATTACTGATTTCATTCTTCTTGGATTGAAATGGTTTAAAGGGTGTGCATAAAATCAATTTATAATATATATTTGTGTATGAAATTTGATTTTATCTATATGAACTAATGAATATTTGTGTATGAAATCTGATTTTATCTATATTAACTAATGTGTGATTTTAACATGAACTAATGTGTGCATAAAATCAGATTTTAGGTAGTTGAAATTAGAAAATGTTGAATATGTTGTACATGTTTGTATGAAATCAGGAATCGGAAATTGTTATTTGCTTATGAAATCAAAATTTATTTGTATGAAATCAAAATTTATGTTGTATATGTTGTTAAAAATGTGATGAAATCATATTTACGCTTGATTTATGTTGTAAATATGTGTTATGTGGATGATTTAGCTTTTTTTTTATTTTCTTATTTTTACAATAGACACGACAGATAAAAGAACTAGAATTAGTTGGAAGTCGGAGATTATGGACAAACTTTTTTGGAAGCATGTATACACGAATTAACAAGTAATGGTCGGGAGGGTAGTGGCCTAAAAGCAAGCTCATGGACTGTAGTCGCGAAGAAATTGAAAAAGATCATAATTTTGTTGTCGACAAAAAACAAATTAAAAACCGATACGACTATTTAAAAGCAAAGTATGCAGTGAGGTTAAAACTTAAAAATAAAACCGAAAATCTTTATAGTCCCGTAACGAATTCTTTTAACATGACTAATGAAGAATGGGAAGCGGAAGCGAAAGTATATACACACACACACACACACAAACACACACATTTTTTATAATTAGATTATTTTGTTTTACTACTTTGATAATACTTATTAAATTTTCATACAGTTGAACAAGTATGTAGATAAGCTGAGAAATGCACATCTCCCTTGCCCTGATCTTTGTACCCAACTGTTTCATGGGGCGACCTCGGCTGGTGTTCACAGTTGGGGTCCATCTTCGACACTACCTCATCCCAATGAAGTCTTTACTATACATGATTTTGAGGATACAGAGATGGAAGAGCCAACACACCTCATGCAGATACCCCAAGATCAATAGTACCCTAACCTACTAGTGCTTCACCTGCAAGTGAAGAATCATTTGAACGGACAAAAACCGCGGGGGCAAACGAAATGGTCCCAAGGAAACCACACTTGATGATGATGTGAAAGAAGTTGGCAGAGAAACTGTCAAGGCTGCACAGGCATTCACGCAAGCAAATAATCTTGACAAGGAGATTGATGATTGTATGGAAAAGTTGGCAAGCTTGGAGTGGGGAGAATATCATCCGAAATACACCACTGCTCTTACGTTATTTGCTGAAAGTGCGGGTAATAGGAAAATTTGGTTGCGCCTTAACTTGTCGACTTGTGAGTCGTGGGTAACAAATGCGGGAAGAAAGTTTGGATTAGTTGCTTGACTTTAACTTGTTATGGTTTATTGTTTGACTTTAGTATGTTATGGTTCATTGTTTGAATTTAGTATGTTATGGTTCATTGTTTTGACTTTAGTATGTTATGGTTCAGTTGATCAATTTTTATGTTTAGAGTTGTTATGTGTTAGGGATTATTTTGGTAGGTGCAGTTATGATATATGAATTTATATGTTATGGAATGTTATGTGTTTAGTATTTACATGTTACGGTTTGTTATGGTATTGATTGTTATGTTATTGATTGTTATGTTATTGATGTAAATGTAATTTGTATTTGACATTTAACAGGTCACATGGATAAACAAGGTGACTTTTTATATTTCCTTATATTCTCGTGGTATTGGTTGATGTTGGTCCAGCAAAGGCAAAGAATAATTAAAAGAATAAGTGCTAGCGAACCGGTAGCAAATGGGCATGTGTATACATAAGATTTGATACACGTATATCATATACAATGTTATGATATGATGCTTCTTTCACAAGATGAATTTGTACTGTTATGCAATCATTTTACACAAAGAATTTGGTTGCAATGTAATAGGACGATAAGCGTTGAAGATAAAATGGCTATGTTTTTACATGTTATAGGACATAATGAACATTTTCGAGCAGTTAAAGAAACATTTCATCACTCCACACAAACGATTCATCAATGTTTTCATGACTACGTGCAATGATGTGTTTTGCTAGAGAAATTATAGTACCAACATCGTCTAATCCAACAAGAAATACATCATAACGAAATAGACGACTAATACACGTATTTCCCGGAGCAATAGGTGCACTAGATGGAATACTTATACATGTAGTTGTGCCCGTTGATCAACAAACTCGCAACAGGGGAAGAGGAAAAAGTGAATGTTATCAAAATGTAATCAGAATTTGTGATTTTAATATGATATTCACCTTTGTACGGGCTGGATGGGAGGGCATAACACATGATTCTAAATTTTTGAAAGGGGTTGCATTTAATATGACTTCTGGATTTCCATTCCCTCCACCAGGTTTGTAATTTTTTTTATAAGGTTTATTATCTGTATTATTTATATGATAAATTTGTCAATCATCGACAGATAAATATTACATTTGTGATGTCGCATACATCAACACCCGTGGATTTATGGCTCCCTACTGTAATACTAGGTATTGGTTAGCCGATTTTCGAAGAAATAGAGCTTTAACTAAGGAAGAAAGGTTCAATCATGCTAATGCACAACTTATAAATATCATTGAACGTGCTTATGATGTATTGAAGGAGAGATTTCCAATTTTAAAACAAATAGCTCTTTATCCTTTTCTAATGCAAAGAGACGTAGTCATTGCTTGTGTTGCAGTCCATAATTTTATAAAGAAATACAATATTCAAGATGACTTATTTACGAGCTTTGAACAAAACACTATAGTTACTCCTGATGTGGAAGGAGGAGGAAGTGAGGGCCAAAACATACAAGGCATAAAATAGGGTTCAGAAGTCGTTGGCTATATGACTACTTTGCATGATCAGAATGCTAATCAATTAATTTCAAATTGTTCACGTTAAATGATGTACTTTTTTTTTATTATGTATGAAAATTTATATTTGGATTTTGTATTACATTTTGTATTTGGATTTTAAATGATGTATGTTTAATTTGGATTTTATGTGATAATTTGTATTTTTGTAATTATTTTATCCAGCACAAGGGACAACACAAGGGTAATACGGTAATTTTTATCATTCAGCACAATTAGTCATATAAATAATCAAACAACATAAACTCAGTCAGATGTGGACTCAGTCAGCATTTCTAACCCAATAACTCTAACCCAATCAGCAACTATCAAACGACCCCTTAATTGGTTTGACCCTTGACCCATTTATCCAAAATCAATTTCACAATACCCGAATTCATCTTCTTCTTTACCTGAGAAAACATATTCTCTGCCATTTTTAAACTGTTGAAGTTTTGACTTCAATTAAGACAATATCAATTAATTTTATAAAAATTACCACCATCTACCGCAATCATTTACTAACAATTATCCATAAACAACTATCAATTTATGTTCCAAAACAGTGTGAATTCAAGCCATTATTTACAAAAATGTTTCTTACAAATCATTGTCAAATTGCTATCGGTTAGATTGAATTGAGACAAGAGGTTGAACCAAAATACTAATGGCATGTATATAATTCTATCTAAGCAACTTGACATTTAAAATTGAATTAGATAGAATATTTAATTATTTTCTAATTCTATAAATTAAGGTGCTTGGGTTGGAGATGCACTTGACATAGTTCAGGATAGTGTTGTAGATTCTTTCCATCAGTTAAGTTTAACTATTCAAGTATTGATTTTTTTGTTTATAGTTAATTAAGTGTTTTCGTTCATTCAGAATTTTTGTAAACTAATTTGTGCTCTTAAACTTGTTTAGATTTGTTTTGTGAACGATGTTGTTTTTTTTAGATTACTAAAATGGTATTGTAGCAGCAAAATCCGCTTTATATCTCCTTTTAGGATTAGGATAAAACCGTGTTTTCTTCTTTACGATGATTTTCTCTTGATAACTCTGTTTTATGTTTTCAAACACTGCTTCGGTCATGAAACAGAGCAATGTTTTCTCACTGGTTATTTCTTTCCTTCCCGAGGTTCAGTCCACGGTGTCAGTCTTTTATTTTTGTTTGCAACCCTAAATTTCTTCGGTCTTGGTCTGATAATGGTTGGGTTTGGAAGTAACAGGTCAAACGGCCGGCGGTGGTGGGAGTAGCCGGGAAACAATCAAAACTACCCTGCACGACGTGGACCCATCTGGAGCATGCAATATGGACCCTGCAGCGCAGACGTTGGTCGATGGTAGGTATCCTTGTGGGCATGAAGAGGTTGTGGGTCTAAACAAGGGGATTCATATCTATAAAGAATCCTTGAAGATTGAGCCTGATCAAGAATACCCTGGAAAATACCTGGTTGAATTCACTTATGATGCCTATGGCGCTGGCAGGTAAAGTATTTATTATTACATATATAATCATAACCATTGGAAACATTTTCTATTTGAACTTTTCGTCTACATCTTTCCAGTTATGCATCTTGTAGATCTTATGATGCCTATGTTGCTGGCAGGTAATTACTTATTCTTTCATAGATAATCAGTTTTATACTTTTCTCCTGGCAGTATTACCCTTCGTTTCGGTGAAAAACTGGGACGCGGCTATAATGATGATCTAACAAAAGAAGACCTGATTCAACCAATCACAGTGAATATCAAGCAAGATTTGCGCCAGAAATTCAAACAGGAACCTGGGACTGGAATTGACTTTTCCTCATATACGGTAAGTAAAACAGAGGTATATCTGTTAGCAATTCAGGGCACGCACAAGTCCATGTATATCAGAAGATGGAAGTACGAATCGTGGAACTACTATGTCCCATTTAACTATAGCAGTGTTTGACAAGGAGCAGGATAGATACAAGGTTAGGGTTACAGATCAGACCTTATGGGTGAATGGAGCAAAGTATGTGTTGCATGATAAGGAAGGATTTGGTAATTCTGATGGTGCTGATCTTAATTGGAATGATCTTGGTAAAAAATGTCTCATCTGTTTATCAAAATTTCAAGACACCACTACCCTTCATAGAGAAGGACGAAAAATTGGAAAGTTAGTGGTCTATGATAAAAAAATTGGGAAGGGGAGTAATGAGACAATTGTATACGAGGGAATTTATGGCGATAAGTCGGTTGCTGTGAAAAAGATTGTAAAGGTGCATCATGATGTGGCATTAAAAGTGATACAAAATCCGCGTGTATCCGATCAACATGCTAATATTGTTAGGTTGTATGGTGTGGAGTACGATCAAGATTTTGTTTATCTTGCTCTTGACAGGTGTATATGTAGCTTACATGATTTGATATTGTCACATGGCAATTCGAGTGCCGAATCTCAACCAACAGTGAAAGTTTTTAAGGATTTGGAATTGTCGAAGCCTAGTAGGTATCCTCCACCGATCTTGTTCACATTTATGAGGTGAGACCATGTTCTTTTTTTCTCTTTCTTTTTCTGTTAAGTGTTATGTGGATAAACGACGATTAAAACATGGCGAACATAAGAAGATTGGAAGGAAAATATAAGAGGGTAAATGCATGAAATAGCAATGTAATTTCATTTATTTTTTTATTATAACATCTTACTTTCATATTTCTCATTCCAACGTTGTCCTTCCTTTTTTTTCCTTACTAATACATTGTTCTTTAAAAAATTTACCCAATTATAGCATTGTACTTAATTTTTTTTTCTTTTTACTTATTAGGATATTGTACTTACTTTGAGAAGTTATAGCATTGTATTTCAAATTACTATAATTTGATAGATTTTTCAAAATATGTTGTAATGGCAAGAAATGGAAGTAGGATGCTATATTAAATAAAATGAATGAAAGTACTTAGCTATTCTTGCATTTAACCCAAAAATGAATCATAGTAAATTTGCAAAAAAGTTGGGACTTAATGAGGAAAGAACCGTTTCCCTAACTTATTATATTAAGTAGTTTTTTTCCCCTCCATTAAGTGTTATCTGAATAAAGTACTCTCTAGATAAAGATACATAATTTTTTTCACGGCAAACATGGGAATATGGAAGCAAAAAAGGAAGAGCTAAATGCGAGAGATAACAATTTACTTCCATTTATTTGTTTTTTTTGTAGCATCTTACTTCCATTTTTTTTTTGTAGTTTCAAATGTTATATTAACACGTTATACTTTAAAAAATTAACACAATTAAAGCATTATATATATATATATAATATATATATATATATATATATATATTTCATATTAGGACATTGTACTCTGAAAAATCTACTCAATTATAGTAGTAAAAATTGTTGTATTTGAATGACATTTCTATATTGGGTAGTTCTTTAATGGGGAAGACCTCATTTCCCTAACTTTCTCAATAAGTTGCACTTTGTGTATTAAGTAAAATAGAAACTCATATATAGATTACCAGATTAACCCTTGCCATCATTAAGTAAAAAAGAAACAACTTATTACCTTTTTTGGGGTGATAAATCATAAATGGAACTCTTGTAGAATTTATATAAACTCATAATATCTTTTGGCAAATATAAATTACAGGGATACAGTTGAAGGACTTGGCTATTTACATGGGCTTCGAATCAATCACGGTGACCTAAAGCCTCAAAATGTCTTAATACACAATGATACTTCTAGTGTAGTGAAGGTCTCAAATATGGGCACGAGAAAATACAGAGCTTTAACCAAAAGCACAACAGGCAAGTTGTTTTATATTTTCATCATGAGAGATTACTTTAATAATATTTGAATGCGAAAAGTGCAAGAAAAAGAAATATAGTTTACAATTATTCCGTATTATGGCATTGTACTTCCTTTTTTCTTATTACAACATTGTACTTTTAAAAATTATTACTTCTAGTTAGAGCATTGCACTTTAGAAAGTTTACCCATGTTAGCAATGAGATTGGAATTATGACGGCATGGCACAAGTTAACATGTTTTTCATGCTATGTCATTGTCCACATAGGACATAAATGTGCGATATTATGCTGACATCGAAAAAAATATTGTAATGTTTTTATTATAAAAAACTGTCCATATTTTCTATTTAAAAAAATTATGGTGAAGATGAGAGAAAGGACAGCTTTTTTTAAATGTCTTTACACTCTATTCCCTTTTCATTTAGGCTATGGGAGTGTGAGGTGGCAAGCACCCGAGCAACTTAGGAATGAAGAACCTACGCCTGCTGCGGATTTATTCAATTTTGGGTGTCTGCTTTTCTTTTGTATCACTGGTGGTCGACACCCGTTTGGTGACATTATAGATGATCGTGATAATAATATTTTGCATGACATGAAAAATCTGTCACTGGTAGAAAATATTCCAGAAGCCTATGATCTTATCTCTCGTCTCCTACATCCCGATCCAGAATCCAGGTATGATTCATGTAAAATTATCTAAAATTCTTTACAACATGATGAAGTATGGGGAAAGTAGTGTAAATAGACTTTGGTCTACTAGTCAAATATCAAAAGCACCATGGGCAGTGTATTGATTAGATTTGCTTGAGTTTATAAGTATATAGGCTGATTTCATGTTTTAGTGCTTTCAACTTGCATTTTTATGTTATGGAAAAATACAGAAAAGCATTTGTATTTTTACCGTAATATCGATATAGCTACTTAACTAATAAACCATTATAGTGATTATACCTTTTTTTCGTCTAAAAAACAAATATTCGCAGTTATTATATTTTGATATGGCAAAGGGTAAAATACAAAAAAATAATAGTAAAAAGGAAGCCACAACGTACTTTTATCATAGTTAATTCACCAAATCGAAATCGATAATAGGTGAAGGTACGATTAAGCTTTTCTGTATTTTCTCCTTTTATAAAACCAGGTAAACAAGGAAAAAACAGACTTTTTAAATGGTCAAAAAAATAGTATAATGATTTGATTACTACATGATTTATTAAATGGTGAAAGTTTTGTATTTAGCCTTTCCCCAAGACCAGGTGCCCACGAAAAGTACTTTTTTGAATGGTAAGATGAAATATAATGGTTTAACTACAACCAAATTAAACTAGTTAAGTGGACATCGATAAATAATGGAAGTATGTTGTTCTTTTCGTTATATAGCTATTTAATTTCCATGTATACTTCAAGAGATTATACATCTGAATTTGTTCATATTCAGGCCAAAAGCTGGAGAAGTATACAACCACCCTCTATTCTGGGATCCCGAGACCCGTATTTCCTTCCTACTAACAGCAAGTCAAAAAGTAAAACGAAGAAAACCAAATGAGTGTGAAACCAATTCCAATCTCATTACATCACTCGATAGAAGGGCCCTCCATGTCTTCAGTGGTGAATGGAACACAATGTTAGATGACACACTCCGCAACGACGTAGATCTACATATCAAAAAGTACTTTTACAGCTACAAAAGTGTATGCCATTTAATACGACTCATAAGGAACAAATATAATCACTATCCAGAATCCTCGCCAGATTTGAAAACTGCGTTAGGGTCGCTCCCCACGGGATTTGATGAGTATTTTAGAAGGAGGTTTCCGAAGCTTCTTATAGAAGTGTATAAGTTTTTTAAAGAGCATTGTGGATTTGAAGATCTTTTTATTAACTATTATAGACATAAACTGTTTCGTTAAATGATAATGATGGTTTTTTGTCATAAAATGTGACTCTTGTATATAGTTTGTGAAATAGAAAAAAAAAAAAGTTGAATATATGATAGTCAAGTTGTTTGGTAACTTGTTTATGTTTTATCCTAATACTAGAAAGATATAGCATTAGCATAATACTTTAACCTTGCTTCCAATATTGACATCTTTGTAATTTGTTTTCTATAACTAGTGGTATTCTCGTGCGTTGCGGCGTTCGTTAGTCTTATATTTTTGACAATATGTCCTTAATGTTTTCTTAAACATGGACCATTTATGTAGTTTCGTCATTACACCGGACAATTAGTGTATATTAATCTTACATAGGAACCAGTTTTGTAACTTTCGGTATTACATAGGTACCATTTTTGTAGATATGCTATTATAGGCACCTTTTAGTAATCACTATTACCCATGGATGATTTTTGTATGTTTGTCTTACACAAAGGACTAATATTTGGGATTTTGTCTCAGTGATACCATTTTATGTAATTTAGCTATTGCACCGTGCCATTTCTCGAACTTGGTCTTATACATACACAATTACATAATTTTTACATAGAGACCATTTTTATAATTATCTCATATGCATGGACAATTACATAATTTTTCATTGACGATTTTTATAATTTTCTCAAAACATAGGGAACAAAACACAATTTTTACATACAATTTCTCTAATTTTATCAAACAAGAGACTATTATGTATTTTCACAAGGACAATTTCTATAATTTGCTCAAATATAGGGACTTATTAAATAATTTTACAAGAACCATTTCTGTAATTTTCTCAAAAATTAAAATCACCGATTAAACCATAATTTTACACAAGGAACAATTTTATAATTTTATCAAACAAAGGGACCATTTTATAGTTTTGTAAGGACTATTTCTATAATTTGACACGACTTCTTGTAAATTAGTTATATTTGATTGTTTTAGCTTTTACTCACAAATTCATTGAAAATGCATACCCTACTAACTCTAGGCTAAATTAATTAAATAACAATGTAATATATATATATATATATATATATATATATATATATATATATATAATAAATTGAGAGGCCGCTTATGCAGATTGAACTTTTGCTTTTCCGAGTTTTACCACAAAATGTTTGTGGGATTTGTAGTTTGGCCCTGCCTCCCCTAAGACTATCCCATTGGGGGTTTTGAAGGAGCGCTCACATCACATCACAAAATAAAAAAAATTGAAAATTAAATTATTTTTGGTGAAACTAGGTCACCACCACAACCTCACCTCACACTTGCTCACCCCATTTCTTTTTTTTTTATATGTTATAATCATTTTTTTATTGATTTATAATTTATACATTAAATATTATCTCAAAAAAATTAGCAAAAAATATTAAATTTCATTAAAAAAGGTTCTCTTTAAATAGAGTATAATATCGATATATTTCCTATTTAATTTTAATTTTTTATTTATAATAAATAGTTTGTTTGGATTGGGTTGCTAATGAGATAAAAATTTTGTTGGATTAGATTGCATAGGCGAAAAAAAAAAATATTTTTTTAATAGAAATTTTGGGTTGGGTTGCTGATAGGATAGTCTAACATCAAATCAGGATTTTACTTCCCGAACTCTCTCATTCAATATCTTCCCATTCCCGATTGTTCTAATTTTAACTCAACAGATATCCCACCGCCTTAACATAGGTACACATTTGAAACACCCCTTTCCTCTCTCTCCTAATAGCTCCTCTGCAACATCCTTCATTAATCTTCCGCCTCCTTGTCTTTTCTAGTAGCACGTGCTGTCGCGGTTAACAAGGCAACCCCTTAAGCTCTTTCATTCTCTGTTTCATTTACGAATTCCATTGCTTTTAAGTTTCTATGATTAACTGATTCAAGTGCGTTTAACATGCAAAGATAGTAGAAATGAATATACGTAACGTATGTTCTTAACCAGTTTTGATTTTTTCTAACTTGAAAACTTCTTTGTTGTAGACAATATGATCAATAACAAGAGAAAATCCAGCTCAAAAGATTCTAAGATTCAGACAAAACAGTCACCTTCAAAGTCTTCAACAAAGTTTCAAAAGCACCCAAAAATGAAAATCTCCATGTCCCAATTAACCTCAAAGCCTTTAGCTTGAACGATCTCAAAACTGTCACCAGAAATTTCCAATCGGATAGCCTTTTGGGTGAGGCATACCGTCCTTTCTTATTTTTCGCCTTTTGTGCACTCCCTTAATTGGTTTTTGTTATTTGTTTATTGGAGTTTTTTTGTCAAGAACAAATTGAAGCTTGCAGAAGAAAGTAAACAAAAAAGACAGTTGAAAATCAATTTGTTGGATATGGAAGTTGCACTTCCTGATGGAGCAAAAAGAGGGTCTAGGGCAAATGATCAATACCTGCAATTCAAAACACACACATAACACCCGGACCTTGAATGTTCATCATCTATCCACTTTTTTTTTTTGGTAATATGAATGTAAGAATACATGTAGTTTACACCTGTCACTGTGCACATATTTTTAACCCAAAACAAAAATGAATAAATGGATTATTTAAGTGATTGCTTCTATTCTTTTGTGTGTGATTTATGCTGACATGATACATTCCTTACTATGATATTTTGATATGCATAGTGACATCGGATAGCATTGGCTATTCTCGATTTCATCATAAGTTTCACATACTAATTTTGACCTATTGACATGCAGATAATGAAAATATCAGATTTTAATTGATAAAGTTGATCTTCAATGCTTGCCTCCTAATAAAAACCCCGTGTCTCAGATAACATGGATCAAATAAGAAATATCATAGCAAAGTTGCTTTTTTTCATGCCCGACTTCTTTATCTTACATTATGCACACACTCATGTCTTTTTGTGTGTGTTTTGCAGATAATTCACAACAATTGGGCTTATCCTGTTGATGGAGATTTCTATTTCTCCGTTGGCGTTCCTTCCAATTACAGGAGGTCATGAGGAACATAACCTAAAGAGATAGAATTACGTAAGCTGCAATTGTTTTCTAATGTACGTAATCTGATGCACTTAAAATTTGAAATATGGAATTTACTCACAAGGATGTGGCGTTGAGAATGTTATCATACCATGGGGGCACGATGATTCCATGTATTTGGTACATATAAATACTCTACAATTCATAATTTTCTTACATATTGTGTGAGGCCTTCATTATCTCATTTTTGTTATGACAGAAGTACACAATCATCAAATCTAATTGAAATAAAACAAACGAAATTCAAATATATATAAAATACAAGAATCAATTTACAGAAAACATACTTGTTTGATGATTACACAGAAATATATCACGAAATTGTAGAGATTGAGGCCTGCCTTGCAGTGTCCTAAGACAGAAATTTCCCTGGTAGGGATCTGTCAAGAGGATACAACAATCAATCCAAGAAGTGATCTTGAATCTGACGAAATTTCTATGTTCCCTTCATCTTCAGGAAGAACGAATTTGAAAGAGAATTTTGTGGTGTAAAATGATTTCTGTAACCCCTCACAGATGAATGAAAACAGGTATTTATAGGTATTAGTTATGACAGTTGGAAACCGTCAAAACCGAAAAATAACCGTCAAACCTGTCATTCATTAATTACGAATTTAATAAAAATAAAGAATAAAAATTAATTTCGTAATTAAAAATTATTTAATTAATCAGGAAGACCCCAAGGCCCAAAGCCCATCTTTTGACCATTAAATATTCTCTTGATATTAGCCTATTCTTAGTCGAATTAGACTAATCCAACACCACAACCCAAGCCCAATATGCTTAACCCATTACTTGACCCATTTAATTAAATGAGTGAGACAAGACATATAAGGTGGGAGAAGGTTTTCTCTTCTACCAATGTGGGATAAGTCCCACATTGTAAAGCAAAGTTCCAACAATACCCCACATTTTCTATTCAAACTCCAAGAATACCTCACATTTGAATAGAAAATAAGTGAACTTTGATATTCAAATAAGGGAAGTTAGATATGACATGCATCTGAATAGGTGTTGTAAAACTTGAACCTTTCATAGTGACTGCTACTTGGATGTACTTTGTGGGTAGTGAACTAGAGTCTTGAACTAACCACTTTTTATAGTAGAATAAAACAAGAAGTATCACACATATCATATCTAAACATAGATCATTTCTTACCGTTGTGTTCATTTCGGTCGTGAACGATCCTTTCTTCATGAGACTTTTAGAGAGCTTCTTAGTCATATCAGCTCCCAAAGATGCGACCTCACATCCATCTCACATTGGTAATGCTAATCTGGAACAATTCGTACTATTCCACTATAAAAGCTATCAACATTATTAAGAATAAAGAATTCATCCCTATATCATCAACGGAAAACACAAAATAAATATCATAGGAGTGAGCATACCTTTATGTTAGTGCTTCTTTGAGTCTTCCCCGACTAGTTTTTCCTATTGAACCTAGACCATGGGATCTCCAATGTTGCTAGGTTAGGTTTCCGCCAGGTGGTGACACATTGTGTTGGCTTTAAGCCCATTCCCCTTGATGTGAAGAGGAACTTGCTCTCTACTAAGGCCTTTTGTCAGGGGATCAACTATATTTTCCTTTGACTTTATGTAACTAATGGAAATGATTCCATTGTTCAGCAAGTCTCTTATTGTAATATGTTTGCGCCTAATGTGTCTCGACTTGCCATTGTATATATGTTTTTGTGCTCTAGTAAGAGCAGCCATACTATCACAATGTATGCCAATGGCAGTAACAGGTTGAGGCCACAGAGGAATACCTTCTAGGAAGCTTTTAAGCCATTCAGCTTCTTCAGCAGCTTTGTCTAAAGCAACAAACTCTGCTTCCATTGTAAAATGAGTATTCACAGTTTGCTTAAATGATTTCCAAGAGATAGCAGCTCCACCAAGAGTGAACACATATCCACTTGTGGATTTTGCCTCTGAATTATTGTAAATCCAATTTGCATCACAATACCCTTCAAGAACAAGAGGATATTTCATGTAATGCAGTCCATAATTCATTGTATGCTTTAAATATCTAAGCACTCTCACTAACGCATACCAATGATCTTTCCCAGGATTGTGGGAGTAACGACTCAATCTACTTACACTATAAGCCAAGTCCGGTCTAGTACAATTCATAATATACATTAAGCTACCAAGAACTTGAGTATATTCTAACTGAGCTACACTATCACATTTATTCTTCTTAAGATGACTTGAAGGATCAAAAGGGGTGACTACCGGCTTGCCATCATAGTGTCCAAACTTCTTAAGTACACTTTCAATATAATGGGACTGAGTAAGAGTATAACCATCTAATCTTCTTTGAACTCTTACACCAAGGATCGCATCTACTACTCCCAAGTCCTTCATGGAAAAGAAGGAGTGTAGCATTTTCTTGGTTTGATTGATTACATCCAAATTAGTACCCATTATAAGCATATCATCCACATACAAGCATATGATGACACAAGCATTCTTGTATTGTTTGACATAAAAACATTTATCACATTCATTAATTCTAAATCCATTAAAGAGTAATGGGTTGTCAAACTTCTCATGACATTGCTTTGGAGCCTGTTTTAGTCCATAAAGTGATCTAACGAACTTACAAACTTTGTTTTCTTGACCCTTAACCACAAACCCTTCAGGTTGGTTCATATATATCTCTTCATCTAGTTCACCATACAAGAAGGCAGTTTTCACATCCATTTGGTGTATTTCCAAATTGTGAATGGCTGTAATTGCTACTAATGTTGAGTAGGTGAAGCCACTCAATATTAGTGGCAGAAAACATGGAAGGAAATCAAGTCAAAAAGGTGGAAAAGGAGAGGTGATCCATATTTCCCGGATGCATGTTTCATGGCTGCTTTTCTTATTCTATTATCATTTCAGACTCTATATATGAGTCTCATCTGTATTGTAAAATTAAGCAACAAAGAGTGAGTGCAGATTAGCACCAAGAAATATAAACTCCTAGTTACCTCGTGTGGATGTAGGTCAGAAATAGACCGAACCACCTTAAATCTTTGTTGTTCGTGTGTTTAGAGTGGTGTGTTAAGTGTCTCGATCCTAACAAGTGGTATCAGAGCAAGGTTGTAGCTCCAGAAGGTGATTTTAAGTTTTTGGTCGAAATTTTTTTTCGTCAAAAACGATTTTGGTGTATACCGTTGGAAAGGTCTCGTTCCGAAGATTCCGAAAATATTTTTTTCTGAATTTTTTGACCACCGGAAGACGTCCAATTCGCCGGTCAAAGGTTGCCGGAATAGTTACCGGAAAAACCAGTTTCGCCGGAGAAGACGACACTGTAGCACCGAAGTTCCGCCGGAGAAGACGACACTGTACACCGGAGATTCGCCGGAGAAGACGACACTGTAGCACGACGCCAGTGGTGACGTCAGCAGGAACTGTAGCAACACTGTAGCAGATTTGAAAAATTGCAGTTTAGCCCCTGAACTTTCAGAAAATTGCAGTTTAGCCCCTGAACTTTCAGAAAATTGCAATTTAGCCCCTGAGCTTTCAGAAAATTGCATTTTAGCCCCTGAACTTTCAGAAAATTGTAGTTTAGCCCCTAAACTTTCAGAAAATTGCAGTTTAGCCCCTGAACTTTCAGAAAATTGCAGTTTAGCCCCTAATCTTTCAGAAAATGGCAGAAATCAGTAAGCTTCAGATTGAGAAGTTTGATGGGAAAGATTTTGGTTGGTGGAAGATGCAAATTGAAGATTTGCTCGTGCAGAAAGACTTGGACGCAGTTTTAGGTGAAAAACCGGAGGCGATAACACAGGCAAACTGGGAGATTTTGGATAAGAAGGCCAAGGCATTTATTAGACTGACGTTGTCAAAGGATGTTGCATTCAACATTTTGAAGGAGACCTCGACAAAGGGAATCATGGAGGCATTGTCTAATATGTACGAGAAGCCGTCGGCAGCAAATAAAGTCTTCCTGATTCGGGAGTTAGTCAACACGAGGATGAGGGAAGGAAGTTCAGTTACAGTACACATCAACATTTGAACTCGATTTTATCCAGACTGGGTCAGTGGGAATAAAAATTTGAGGACGAAGTTCAAGCTTTACTACTGTTATCATCATTACCTGACAGTTGGTCCGGAACAGTTACAAAGCCGTTACTAGTTCCTCAGGATCGAAAGAGCTCACTTTTGAGGGAATTCGGGATTTAATTGTAGGCGAAGACGTCAGACGAAGAAATTCCGGGGAATCATCAGTGAACAATTGAATGCGGTCAGAGGTAGAAAAATAACAGAGGTAGTGGGAGCGGGAACAGGAGAAGGAGTCAGTCGAGGACTCGAAATGATGTGACTTGTTGGAACTGTAAAGAGGTTGGACATTTCAGGAATCAATGTCCAAAAGACAAGAAAGAAGTTAACGCTGCAGTAGACCATTCAGATGATGATGTTTTGATCTGTAGTGTGGAGAGCAATGTGGATTCCTGGTTATGGATTCGGGTGCTTCATTTCACGCTACCCACAGCCGTGAAGCACTGCAGAATCTAAAAGAAGGAGATTTTGGTCAGGTAAGACTGGTGAACGATGAGGTTCTTGATGTGACGAGCATAGGTGACTTAGTTTTGAAGACTCCAGTTGGTCCATGGACTTTGAAGGATGTCCGGGTAATTCCAAGTCTGAAGAAACAGTTGATTTCTGTTGGGCAGTTGGATGAACAGGGACACGAGGTTAAGTTCAGGAATGGGCAGTGGAAGGTTGTCAAAGGAAATCTTGTGATAGCTCGTGGACATAAGAAGGGTTCATTATATATGGTCAGATTACCATCTGAGGGAGTAACCGTCCCAGTTCAGAAGAAAAACAAAATCCGGTTCATAGAGTCTCGTGGACAGAAGAAGGTTTGCTTTGCAGATGGCAAACCCAGAGTCACAGGTCAGATTCAGGTTGAACGTGTTTGGAACGGTTCAGAAAAACCAGTCAAGGGCATTCATAGCAGTGGGAGCAAGG